CACTTCTACTCAAATTTCGAAGGTCAAGACTCTTAACAGTTTATCAATTATAACTAGATCAGTGTATATTTCTATTCGAACGTTTTTTATAGATATGATGATAAAAAAATTGAGCTACTTCTCATCAGACTGTTATCATTTGCGAGAATTTTCCTCCTTGCATTACTTGTAAAGACGATATGTAAGCGGTGGTGAGTGGCCATAACCATTTGCGAGAAGTTTCCTCTTTATATTGTGGTATGCAAAGACGATAAGTAAGCGGTGATACTGACGAGGAGGTTGTGATATAAGCAAATATTGCATATAGATCTGATATCTGATATATATAAGTGTAATAGAATGTTTTTTATTTTTTGAATGTTCAGTAACGTGAATATTACTTTTACAGATGCGAAATTTATGGAAAGAATTGAAAATATTAGTAGATGAGGGTTTGATTCGGTATGTATTTTTTTAAATGAAATATATCAAAAAGAAATGTATTAACGATTCTGTCTGTAAAGATTCGAGACTGATGAACCTCCAGATTGGAAAGTACATGCTATCCGTAACATCGGTAATATAAAGGATAGACTGCAGGTATTCTGTACATATATGTTCATTATTTTACCGGGATCCGAATATATTTAATCGCATTACCAATTCCAAATTATCAGAAAGCAAACACATCGGTACATGAACGTCTTCTCGAGGAAATACAAGACGTAGATCTTAGTGATTTAACCTATGATAACCCATTGGCTAACGGTATAATTGACCTCGGATCTTCCCAATACCAGTTAATGGAAGATGATTATGATGTTCTTGTGGTGAGTAATTTATATTCACAAGAATTATATTGATCACACTAAATCATATGATATATTTAGGACTTGTTTATGCAGGGTGAGAAAGTTGGCATAAGAAACTTAAGAAAAGGTGCATTGATAAAGGGAGTGTGTGCGGACTTTATTATTAAAAGAACCGAAATTCAGAACCAGTGCAAATTCATAATCGCGCCTTCAGAAACAAGAAGACATAAGGAATGGATTGAGAGTGAAAACAACAGGGTGCTAATAGCGACAAATATAACAGACACGCTTCTGCAAGAAACTAAAAGGAATGTTCTTCGTAAAATTTCTAAAGCTTCGGAGAATGCCCTTGTAGACGTTATAGCACGTATTATAGAGGCATCGTTATATCAAATGCCAGTTAACTTTGACATCGAAGTAACGAGGAATGATCGTCAAAGTATTGCCAGCAAAAAACGAAAAAATCGGCAAGAGACCGGTTCAAGAGGCAACAAACCTGTCTTAATGATTCGCGCATTTTTCAAAAATAAGTGGAATGAACTCGCATATGTCGAAAGTGGGAAATGGAGATCAACAGACACAAAAACCCTTAATGATCATAACAAGTTAGCTCGTTTAAGTTTAGATGGATATACTGATATGTCAAAAAAAACTAAAAAGAACGAGCTATATAAATTTTGTATTATATTTGGCATCAATATTACAGGTAAAAACATATTTCCAATGTAGATAATAGCCTATTGTTTAATTATACTAATAATAACTAGATGACCATTGTGTTGTTATACATGGACTTTCGCGAGAAAAAGGTATAAAATTTTATTTCCCTATCATCAAAGCCAAGATTCCCTTCCATAACGAAACAGTGGATGAAGTTGAAGAATTTGTGCACGCGTTATTAATTTTGCGGGTAAGAAATTTTGAAAAAAAAGTCTTCCAATACTATGCACTATTTCTAAGGTTAACTTTATATTTAGAACGGGATAATGGTAAATCTTCATGAAATCAGTCATATTTTATTAAAAAAATCTAAACGAATAGAAACGTATGATTCTTCCGAAGATTCTACTATTAAGACCCCATAAAATGTGTATATGATTTAATGTGAATCTTGTTAGAATCTATTTCCTTATAGATTCCTTTACTCAAGAAAAATTTTCTTTTATTTGTATCTTTTATCCCGTAATTTCTTTTTCTTTTACTATATCAATAAAGCCGGCCCTGGTGCTGATTTCGCATACATCATCAGTTTGCTTTTGCGTGTATATTTCGTAAATTTATTTATTGTATTGATATTGATGTTATATATGATCGAGAATTTTTTCACGCAGACATTAGTCCGCAGACAATAGTATAGACGTCATGTACCACGGGCTAGGTCCCGAACATTTGTATTTATTTTTCGCATGTATTAATTAGGGTAGCTGCACAGCGTGTGACGCGGCGCAGGACCAGCACGATCACTTGGCAAAGTTCAAAAGCATGTTCATGTAAAATAATATTTGGTTAAATTTTACCCGAACTTTTATCCGTATCGTATCACCTATTATAATAAAGACTTGGCTCATTTTAGCACAAATAAAATAAATTAATCAAAGACGAACCATTATTAACACGGGAAAAAACCGAACTTATTCTCCATCAATCACAGATTCGATATCAAACATGTTGGGTATTTAGATATTTTTGCCTAAACTGACTATTCACACTTTATAATA